GGTCTGCAGTAATATTTAAGCAATTAATCCTAATTCATATTAAAAAAAAGTCTCAGCAATTAATGATATATGGTATAACTATGACACAAAGGCATTTTTATTTCCAAGAATCCGATGTTAGTAACAATCCTATTTTCTTTACAATTATACCACTCGTTTAGTTTTAGTTAACTCATGCTGATGGGCTCTAAATCACATAATTCTTCATAAAATGCCCATTAATTGTCCCCCCAGTTGTCTAAAAAATTTTAATTTCATTTATTTTAGGAAACCTCTTGACTAATCTTTTCTAAGTTCATTGATTCATTCAATAAATGTTTATTCAGTGCCTAGTACATTCTAGGTGCCAAGAATTCAACACTGAATAAAACTAACAAAGACTCTACTCTCAGGGATCTCTCACAGTAGAGAAAGGCTTTTCACTAAATTACTATGGAAGTACATAATTTCAAACTGTGATAAATACTGTGAAGGAAAAGTATAGAGTATTATGAAAGCATAATTATAGAGGTTTCAAGCAATTTAATAGTGACAGAAATAACAAGAGCTTAACATATATTTTATTGTCAGATACTGCATTAAGTACATTACACATTCTAATTAATCCTCACAAATAGCATTATCCCAACTTTTAGTTAAGGAAACTGAGGCACAGAGAGATTAACCAATTTGCTCAAGTTTTTGCGGCTAGGAAGTTGTGCAGCTGAGATGTGACTCCAGAAAGTTTCCAAAGATCCAATGTAAGCTCTCTGAGAAAAAGTTTGAGCCTTCCAAAATTCCTGTGGAAGAAAAAAATTGCAGGTTCTACTTTTAAGCAATTCTGCTGTCCAGTATAAGCTAAAATACATTGATTTTTATAGCTGTCAAACAGTATGTGTTAATTCCCAAATTTCCAAAACAGAACAACACCATTCCAACTCCTGTTAGAGCATGTGTTTGGCACAGCAGTTAAGATGCTGCTTAGGGCATTCACATCCCTCTCTCAAGTGCTTGGTTACTGTTCACTTCTGATTCACCTTCCTGTTGATGTGCACCCTGAGAGGTAGCAGGTGATGGCCGGAGTACTTGGTTCCCTGATAGCACATGACGAATCCAGACACAGTTCTTGGTCCTGGCTTTGGCCAACCCCAGCCCCTGCTCCTGTGATCAATGGGGAAATCAATCAGTGGATTAAAGATCTCTGCTTTTCTCTTTGTGCCTTTCAAATAAATAAAAATCAATCATAAAAAACTTTCATCTCAAAAAAGACAATGTCTACTATCTAGGTTGTGGTAAAGATAAAAGAAGTATGTAAACTGAATGGAACAATCTCAGTGTAAAATTTACTTAAGAATCAAATATTTTCTTAAAAGACAAACCTATTTTTATAAAACAGTTTGCCTAGTGGGAATATTAGGTTTTCCTTTATTGTTATTCATTCAGGTATCTAGACAGAGAGCCCAGAGGCAGATCAGCTAAAAGGACACCAAAAGCGCAAAAGTGAAATCTGCTGGGGGTTTGAATGAGGGCAACAATAATAGGAAGGGAAGACAGGGCACATAAAAGAAATACTGTACAATAAACAACATGATTTGGTCAAGAGGCGTTTTGAGAGGGGCTAGGAGAGAGACAGAAGAGGTGATATGGTCTGAGGCTCCTGGTCTGCAGCAGGGGCAGGGGTTGGGGGGTGGTGGAAGGTACTGAGATGCATCAAAAATGACAAAGTAGAAGCTATCAGAGGGTTGCTAAATACCCATTACACACTCTACTGATCAGGAAGAGAAGGAAGTAGACACGTTTAAGATAGGGAGACTGTAAAATTAGATTAGGAATGAACAATGTAAGTAACATCATTATCTGTACCTCCATGTTTATTGTAGCTCGATTCACAATAGCTAAGAAATGGAATCAACCCAAATGCCCATCCACTGAAGACTGGATAAAGAAATTATGGGATATGTACACCATGGAATACTACACAGCAGTAAAAAAAAAATGAAATCCTATCGTTTGCAACAAAATGGGTAAAACTGGTAAACATTATACTTAGTGAAATAAGCCAGTCCCAAAAGGACAAATACCATATGTTCTCCCTGATCTGTAATAACTAACAGAGCACCTAAAAGGTAATCTATAGAAATGAAATTAACACTTTGAGATGCAATGACTTTGAACAGCCCTTTGTCTCAACTGTTGAGGAACTTTTTTTTCCCATACAATCTGTTGAACTCTTTACTTAGTAGAGAGTTAAATGTATGTGTATAATGCTAATTGAAAACAGATCTTGGGGCTGTCACTATGGAGTAGTGGGTAAGGCCGCCACCTACAGTGCCGGCATTCCATATGGGTGCCAGTTCAAGTCCTGGCTGTTCTACTTCTGATCCAGCTCTCTGCTATGGCCTGGAAAAGCAGTAGAGGATGGCCCAACTCCTTGAACCCCTGCACCCACATGGGAGACTCAGAAGTTCCTGGCTCCTGGCTTCAGATCAGCACAGCTCTGGCAGTTGCGGCCAATCAGGGAGCGAGCCAGCATATGGAAGATCTCTCTTTCTCTGCCTCTCCTTCTCTGTGTAACTCTGACCTTCAAATAAATATATAAATCCTTAAAAAAAAAGAAAAGAGAAGAAAAGAAAAAAGAAAAGCAGATCTTAGTAAAAAGTAAGAATGGGAATAGGAAAGGAAGGAGAAGAGGGGTGAGTGTGAGTGGGAAGGTGAATACAGTAGGAAGAATCACCATGTCCCTAAAGTTGTATTTATGAAAATATGAAGTTTATATCCCTTAAATAAAAGGTTTCTGGGGGAACAAAAAGAAATGGTATCATAAAATATGGGACCTTTTCACACCTAGATTCTCTAACTTTGCATGTTTTTAAGGTGCCTATGTGCTATTGTATTTATCAATATTTTATTTTTTTATATTGCTAAACAACATTCAATTGCACGGATAATCCATATTTCATATTTTTATTTATCCTTTCATTGGTTGATGGACATTTATGTTTTCTCCACTCTGTCTATTATGAATAATGTTATGAACATGTTGTATGCAGACTCACAAATTCAGTTCACTCGGATATATACTTAGGAGTCAAATTACTTGGTCATATGTAATTGTATGGTTAACTTTTTTTGAGGCTGATAAACCGATTATCACAACCCAAGTGAGTTTTTAAAACATTTTCTTTTATTTACACTTAATTTTTTAAACATTTATATATTTACTTGAAGGTCAGAGTTACACAGAGAGGGCAGAGGCAGAGAGAGAGGTCTTCTATCTGCTGGTTCACTCCTAAATTGACCACAACGGCTGGAGCCAGGAGCTTCTTCTGAGTCTCCCACATGGGTGCAGGGGCCCAAGGACTTGGCCATCTTCTACTGCTTTCCCAGGCCATAGCACAGAGCTGGATTGGAAGTGGAGCAGTCGGGACTCAAACTGGTGCCCATATGGCATGCCGGCACTGCAGGCAGCAGCTTTACCCACTACACCACAAAGCCAGCCCCATACTTGATTTTTAAGAGATACATTAAAATATACATATTTATGGGGTGCCATGTGATGTTTTGATACATGTGTATAATGTCAAATCAAGGTCACTAAATATCCCTCAAATATTTATCATTTCTTTATGGTGACAACATTCAAGTTTCTATATTCTAATTTTTCTTTGAGAGGAACAGACAGTAAATTAACATTGACTATATTCACTCTACTATACCAAAGAATCCCAGAACATCTTACTCCTATCTAATTAAAACTCAGTGCCTATTAATCAAACTTTCCCATCCCTTCCTCATCCCTTCCCTCCTGACCCACTTGTAACTACCACTATACTTTTCAATTATAATTTTTAAAAGTTAAAGAAAAAAACTTCAAGTATCCATTTATCTTGATTTTTAAACTAACAGGTTAGGTGTAAGATTGCCATTAAGATTTATAGAAAGGGGGTCAGCACTATGGTATATCAGGCTAGCCTGCAACACCAGCATCCCGTATGACTACCAGTTTGAGACCCAGATGTTCCACTTCCGATCCTGTTCCCTATTAATGCACCTAGAAAAGCAACAGAAGATGGCCCAGGGATGGAGTTCCAGGCTCCTGGCTTCGGCCTGGACCAGACTTGGCTGTTGCAGCCATTTAGGGAGTAAACCAGCAGACAGAAGATCTCCCTCTCTGATTCTCCCTCTCTTTCTTTCTAACTCTGCCCTTCAAATAATCTTTAAAGAAAAAAGATTGAGGGGCCATCATTGTGGCATTGCAGTTTAAGCCTCTGCCAGTGATGCCAGCCAGCATCGCATGTGGGCACTAGTTCTAGTCCTGGCAGCTCCACGTCCAATCCAGCTCCTTGCTAATGGCCTGGGAAAGCAGTGGAAAATGGCCAAAATGCTTGGGCCCTTACATCCATATGGGAGGCCTGAAAGAAGCTCCAGGCTCCTGGCTTCGAATCAGCCCAGCTCTGCTACTGCGGCAGAATGAACATCGGATGGAAAATCTTTCTCTGTCTTTCCCTCTCTCTGTAACTCTGCCTCTCAAATAAATAAATAAATCTTTAAAAAAAAAAACACAGAAAAAAGACATTTTTGGATTTTGATAAGTGTTATATATAGCTTATACTAATGGCCTTTAAAAACAGCAACATGCAGCATGTAAGATTAGTAGAGAAAAGGATTACCTTTTTTACTTCTGAGACTGCCAGAATTAATTTGAGAACAGTTTACTGGTTTTTCCAATTTAATTTATGCTCAGGCAGTTGAATCGTCATCTGCTGCTCCCCCAGGATGCAGATGCAGAGGAGCCAGCACTCAAACCAACACTCTGATAGGGGATGCATGCATCCCAAGCAGTGGCTTAACTCCCTGTGCTCCAACACCTGCCCCCGAGCACCTCTGTATGTATTTACTAGTTATTTGTATTTCTTCTCCTGAGAAATGTCTATTCAAATCCTTTTCCCATTTGATGTTTCTGCTGTTGCAGATTTTGAGGTCCATATGTATTCTGGATATTAATACATTGCCAGATGAGTAAAAATAAGGAATGTTTCATAAATTTTCATGTCATCTTTGCACAGGGGCTATGCAAATCTTCTCTATCAACCCAATTTCAGTGGATGTGCTGCCAAACTGAGAACTATTCTCATTTCTCAATAACAGAAACAAAGGCACTAGAAAACTGGGCTAAAAATACTTTTTAAAAACTAAGTGAAGAGGCTGGTATTGTGGCACAGTGAGTTAAGCCACAGCTTGGAATGCCCTCATTCCATGTCCTAGTGACAGACTGTTCCTGCTACTCTGCCTTTTTTTTTTTTTTTTTTTTTTTTTTGACAGGCAGAGTGGACAGTGAGAAACGTCTACCTTTTTCCGTTGGTTCACCCTCCAATGGCCGCTGCGGCCGGCGCACCGCACTGATCCAAAGGCAGGAGCCAGGTGCTTCTCCTGGTCTCCCATGGGGTGCAGGGCCCAAGGACTTGGGGCATCCTCCACTGCACTCCCAAGCCACAGCAGAGAGCTGGCCTGGAAGAGGGGCAACCGGGACAGAATCCGGCACCCCGACCGGGACTAGAACCTGGTATGCCGGCGCCGCAAGGCAGAGGATTAGCCTAGTGAGCCATGGTGCAGGCCGCTACTCTGCTTCTGATCTAACTTTCTGTTAATACACCTAAGAAGGGAGTGGATGGTGATACTTGGGTCCCTGCTACCCACATGAGAAAGATGGATGGAGTTCATTGCTCCTTGTTCAAGTCTGGTCCAGCCCCAGCTGTTGCAGGCATTTGGGGAGTGAGCCAGAGTATGGAAGACAATGATCTCTCTCTCTCTTTAAGAACTCCAGCACAATACAGGGCATAATTCAGGAGTATATAGGGTTGGGGCACAGCAGCATAAGCTTGCAGAGAAGAGTACAGATACTAACACACACAGACCTGGGTTAGAATCACAGCTTTGCACTCATGAGCTGTGTGTCCTTGAGAAACTACCTTAAAGTGTATAATAATAATTCTTTGGCACATTATAATAACATTAAACTGCAAAAATGTACACACATAGTATGAGAATGCCAGCATGTACTCAGGCACTGCTTGGCACCTAGTAACTTCTAGTGGTGTCGATGGAGGTGGTAACAGCAATTAGATGTCTTGCTAAGAATGTACTGGTGTCACTTTCAGAACTCTGACTCAAAAAAGCCAGACAAAGGACACTAGTGACCCTTACGCAATATATTTTAAAGCCTAAACAAAGGCAGAGGTACTTTAAGACTTAAATTTTTCCTATTCCTTTTGATTAAGTCAGACATTGTGGAGTTTTTACATAAAGGTACATAAAATGCAGAGAAACAAACTATTTTCCCATTTTGATTGTGCATATGTAAACTACCTGAAGAGGATAAAAATCTACCAGTTCAGTGGGAGACAGAATACCAGGTGGCAGTAATTATGTTCACATCTCTAGTAGTAGAATTATGGTGGTTATTATTTATTTTTAAAATTTAAATGACATTTTTTTCTAAAAGTCACATACTTTAGAAAGTGAGGCTTTGAAATTTTTAAGCTGCCTCTATGAAGCACAGGATGAAGAGAGAGTTAGAATAAACTTTCTACTGATACTTTACTTCCTGAGAAATTTCTCATCCTTAATTTTTAAAATTATCTGCCTTTTTAGTTCTTTTAATTTCTCACTCTCTGGATAGACATCATCTATGATCTACAGATGTTTGATTCTCTCCCTAGCCAGTGCCCTAAATCTGAAAATTACAAGAACAAGAACTTCTGAATAAAAATATCTTCAATTAAACAATTATATAAAATTTTGTATCAATACTCAGAAGCTTCAGAAAAGTACACAAACACCAGATATGTAAATCATGATAGTCTTCAACTTTGTTTCCAGGATTTATTACCATATTTTAATGTTTTTTAAGTGGTGCATTAAATTGAGCAAACAAAAAATCCTTTGAAAGAATATTTAAGCTCCCTAAAACTGTTCAAAACTATTTTTGGCAAATTCAAAACATTTTACATTTACATAAATCACAAAATATCTCTGTCCTTATGCAAATCTCAACTTACTTCCTAATGTGGACTTTTGTTTCTGCCAGTGAGGTATGATTCTGTAAGTCTACGGCCTCTGTGTGAAATCTGACCTCTCTTCGCTCCACAGTCGTGCTAACATAAACCAAGAGCCTCACAAGAAGTCATTAAATCAGTGCTGTTAAGAGCTCAGAGCTCTATAAAATAGGCAAGAAACACAGTCTCAAGAAACACGCACTATCCTCAAAAACAACCTTGCAAACACAATAAATGTTAAGTGCCTATTTTATTTGTGACTTCCTCTTCTTCACCTGTCTACTTAGTCATTTGCTCCTATGATTTATAGTCAGAAAAAGAAAGACAGATCAAAGATGCTAAGATTAAAATGTTCTCCCAGTTTTTATTTGATCACAAAGGAACACATGTATGACCTTGCCCTAGAAATAATTACAACTAATTAAGCTAATATGCCAATACCAGCTTGCATAGTAAACTACTCTCATAAATATTAAACTACTAGTGCTTCTATAAGGCTGCAATGAGTAAAACAACTCATATATGTTTATTTCAAAACCAACTAAAAAGTACAATACACAGTCTGACATGACATGCCAAACAATAACTTAAGTTCACATTCCCCCCACCAAGAAAACTTTTTAAAATTATCTTGTATTAAACAGAGAATACTAAAGTAAATCAGAATTCTGATGCATGTTTTCAACCAGTGATCCTAACTCTGCAGTTCAGCCAGAGGGTCCCCAGGCTCAGCTGCACCAGGCTACTGCCACACCCCTTCCTTCGGGAGCCCTAAACGGCAGGGAAACATGGCCAACAGTCACGTTCCAGCGCCTCTGTGCTGTTCCCACTGTCTCTAAATCCACCAATCAGTAGCTTGGGGAAAAACTCTACGCAGCTCATCAAGAAATTCCTAACTGTAACTCTCAAATGAAAACTTGAAGCTTATTTCTATGACACTGATCTTTCAAACCAACCAGGTATTTGTCTACTTTGGGCTTTATTACTGAAAACATAGTTATGACATCTTGTTTCATCAGCCCTGATCCACTTTAAGTCTTCAAACTTAAAGAAGACTAACAAGCAACTCAATATGATGTAAAACTGTGGGATCTGGTCCCATTATTTAATCAAAGTACATTCAATACATTTTTAGCAGTAGGTAAAAAACTAACCATGGAACAAGTTGCAACAATATCTGAAAACCTACTATATAGGCAAGAAGCCGAGCATTCACTTTTCTAAGTGATTTAATAGGAAAATTTCATCTATTTAGTAAAAGCAGTGTCCCAACAATATATAATCACTTGAGTCTTGAGCATCAATTCCTCTGTATAGCTGTAGAAAGCATGTAGTAGCTAATCTGTAAGTGGTTTATTAACTGATTTCTAGTGAATAGCTTATCCTGTTTGAATCTATGGCAACTCTTTTTTTTTTTTTTTTAAGATTTATTTATTTATTTGAGAGTCAGAGTTACACAAAGGAAAGGCAGAGAGAGAGGTCTTCCATCCTCTAGTTCACTCCCCAATTGGCCACAATGGCCAGAGCTCAGTTGATTGGAAGCCAGGAGCCAGGTGCTTCTTCAGGTCTCCCACACAGGTGCAGGGGCCCAAGGACTTGGGCCATCTTCTACTGCTTTCCTAGGCCATAGCAGAGAGTTGGATTGGAAGTGGAGCAGCTGGGATTCAAACTGGAGCTCATACAGGATGCCGGCACTGCAGGCGGTTGCTTTACCCACTACACCACAGCGCTGGCCTCTGTGGCAACTCTTAAGCTACAAGATACATACTTACGTTACTATAACATTTTCTTAAAATGTTAACCAGGGTCTGGCATTGTGGCGTAGTGGGTAAAGGCACCACCTATGATGCCAGCATCCCATGTGGGCACAAGTTCTTGTCCTGGCAGCTCTACTTCTGATCCAGTCGGTGGCTTGGGAAAAGCATTGGAAGACGGCCCAAGGGTCTGGACCCCTGCTACTCATATGGGAGACACAGAGGAAGTTCCTGGCTCCTGGCTTCAGCCTGGCCCAGCCCTGGCTATTGTGGCCCTCTGAGGAATGAAGCAGTGGATGAAGATCTCTTTCCTTGTCTCTCCTTCTCTAACTCTTTAAAATAAATAAATAAATCATTTAAAAAGATTTATAACCAAATAAATATAAATAAGGCTAGAAACTTTTTAATATATTTGGGAACAGAAGACTTTGGGAAGTATATAGTTCATGCAGAGTTTCCACAAGATAACACAAAAACAAGATAAGTTTCCAGTATATTCTCAGCAAGTTCACACTAAAAGACAGCTTTAGTAACACCTGAGAATGCTTTGCTTCTTTGCTATTTCATCAGCCTTGCTCTGTCAAACGTCAGACTTGGGACTCCACCTGCTCAATTTATTCAGCAGCAAAGAGAGTTGGACAAGGCTGTTCAAGTCCCCTCCTGACAACGGGCCACTCACTGCTGGTGAGCATTTCTCTTATTAATCTCCTACTAATATCTATTTCAAGAATTCTCTAACTTTTCAATTTATTCAAGTCTCCAGCCTTTTTTTACCCTATATTATAAATCCCTTAAGTTCTGAGAATAGTTCTTATTGGTCTGTGTTGCTAGGAGCCAAAACAGTGCACTGCATACAACAGGTATTCAATAAAGGTTTATTAAATTAATTCAATGAACCATATAGCCAGCTCCCTTAAGCTTAAAACAGAAAACTGCTTGTCTCCCTGAGAAGAACATAATTTTGTTTAGATACTTACAGAATAACGTTGAGCAAATTACTCTTCCTAAACATGCTTTGTTCTATAGAACAAAGTTCTTAAAAGAGTTATTATGGTTTATAAAAACAATGCAGTGAAATGCTTAACATAGTACCCACAGCATCAAAAGCATTCTGTACATTTTGGCTATTTCTATTATTGCACTAGACATAAATCCATCGATTTTCTTTTATTTAAGATTTATTTTATTTATTTGAAAGTGTTACAGAGAGAGGAAGGGAGGGAGGGAGGTAGAGGGAGAGAGGTCTTCCATCTGCTGGTTCACTCCTCAAATGGCTGAAATGGCCAGAGCTGAGCCCATCTGAATCCATGAGCCATG